CCCTTCATTGAACCCAGATCTCTTCTGAAGCCAGAAAGAAGAGGAACCCAGGTTTCTTAAGCTCTTCATTGAACCCATGTCTTCTCTATAGACAGAAGGGAAAGGATCACAGAAAGCGTGGTATCTTAAGTCTGATGCTTTTAATCTAGGTCTCAATGAAGGATATAAGGACAAGCGATGCCTATAATGACAAGAAGGGGACCCTGGGAAGTCCTCCCAATGGGCCAGATAGATAATGAATGTTTTTGCTTCCTGGATTTCTGTTCTCTCCCCACCTAAAACCACGACACCAAAACGGATTGCAGGCTGGGAGTCACGACCACAGAGAATAAGGGGGGGAGAGGGTGCCATCCTAGTGTGACAAAGATTAGTAGTGGAGATTTTAACACTCTTTCAGTGGCCCAAAATATTTTGGGCCATTTCTCTGTTCGAATGCACGATCAGGCTCTCGGTGAGACAGGGATTTCTGTTTTTAAGCTGCGATCCTGAGACCTAGAAGTCCCATCAGCATTGATGTTGGCGTGCATTTGGTTCTTTGCGACCATGGGTCAGGAATGGGTTTGTATTTTTGGAAGGTGGGGCGATGTTCTAAAAAGATGACTGCATGCCCAGGGAGCGTTTCTTTTTTGCCTCCCTTTTGCTGACATTTCCTGCAAGAGAAAAGGCGGAGGAGGACACTGCGCCGGTGACTGCAGGAGGAAGTGGGGCGTTTTGCAAGTTCAGGGACTGACGTCAAAATAAGTCAACAGCGCTTTTGTTAACCAAAAAAGAAAGAAGAAACACGCTGAGAGGCTGAATCACGGCAAACAGATCCCCTCACCTGGGATCCTATTGCATGGCCCTCTGTGCATGCTTGGGGGCCTCCTTGGTGGTTCTCAAGCTGTTGTTTGGCAACTGTTTGTTTTCCGTAGCCGTCTTTGCAGACTTTGGCAGCTGTTAGGATTTCTGGGAGTTGAAAACCAAAACATCTGGGGACCCACAGGTTGAGAACCACTGGACCAGAGCTTCCCAAGCATTTCATGTTGATACGCTTTTGAGACACGCATCAATCACGCCATGACACAGTCATTCAGTTTTGCTAGCAAAACGAAAGTTAAACCAACTCCTTAGAAGAGATGCGGACGTAATAATGAAATGTTTGGGGGCATAAGATCTCTCCTAATAACTTTTTATTTACTGTATATACTCGAGTATAAGCCTGGATTTTCAGCCATTTTTATAGGCTGAAAAAGTTCCTCTCGGCTTATACTCGGGTCAACGTTATTTAATATTTTACTCTGTTATTATTATTTTTATTACATGTATTATTTCACTCTATTATTATTATTGCATTTATTATTTTACTCATTATTACATTATTATTTTACCTTATTATTATTATTACATTTATTATTTGACTATTTATTATTATTACATTTATTATTTTACTCTATTATTACTGGTGGCAAAAAAAGCCAATTTTGGCCTGCATCAATAGGAGCATAGTGTCTACATCTAGGGAAGTAATGCTACCTCTCTATTCCGCTTTGGGTAGACCACACCTGGAATATTGTGTCCAATTCTGGGCACCACAATTCAAGAGAGATATTGACAAGCTGGAATGTGTCCAGAGAAGGGCGACTAAAATGATCAAGGGTCTGGAGAACAAAGCCCTATGAGGAGCGGCTTAAGGAGCTGGGCATGTTTAGCCTGAAGAAGAGAAGGCTGAGAGGAGATATGATAGCCATGTATAAATATGTGAGAGGAAGCCACAGGGAGGAGGGAGCAAGCTTGTTTTCTGCTTCCTTGGAGACTAGGACACGGAACAATGGCTTCAAACTACAAGAGAGGAGATTCCATCTGAACATGAGGAAGAACTTCCTGACTGTGAGAGCCGTTCAGCAGTGGAACTCTCTGCCCTGGAGTGTGGTGGAGGCTCCTTCTTTGGAAGCTTTTAAACAGAGGCTGGATGGCCATCTGTCAGGGGTGATTTGAATGCAATATTCCTGCTTCTTGGCAGGGGGTTGGACTGGATGGCCCATGAGGGTCTCTTCCAACTCTTTGATTCTATGATTCTATGATTGTAGTTTATTATTTTACTCTATTATTACTATTATTATTATTATTACATTATGTTACTCTCTTTATTCTTATTGGAAGGATACATAAGCACACTTACGTTGAAGAAGGTTAGAATCAGAGTTGGACAGTCTTATCTTAAATTACAGTGTTATGTAAATGTTAAAAAAACATTTAACCTTCTGATGCCTCAATTAATGTAATTTTATTGGTATCTGTTTTTATTCTGAAACTAAACAGTATTTCCCACCCTAGGCTTATACTCGAGTCAATACGTTTTCCCAGTTATTGTGGTAAAATTAGGTGCCTCGGTTTATATTCGGGTCGGCTTATACTTGAGTATTTACGGTACATATATATATTTAAAATCTATGGTTTATTCCGTATTGCACATAAAGTTTCTCATGAGGTTTGTGTGATGCATCTACATACTGCAGCCGATAGGCGAACGTGTTGCGATATAGGGTTTGGAAAACTCTGCTTTAGATGTTGGGGAGATAAGGAAGCCTTTCCCTGTGCTTATTCCAGTCTGGAATACAAACCAGAGCAGTTTCAGAATGCAGGCCTACCCTGTAGGGATGAGATGCCCTCAAAGAATTGGAAATATTTATATTATTTATATTATATCTGTATTTCATATATCTATATAAATAAAAATGTAATGTTCGTTTGTGGGATTAACATAACTCAAAAACTACTGGACGAATTGGCACCAAATTTGGACATAATAATACACCTAACAACCCAATGTATGTCCTTCACGCAAAAAAATGATTTTGTCATTTGGGAGTTGTAGTTGCTGGGATTTATGGTTAACCTACAATCAAAGAGCATTCCGAACCCCAACAATGATGGAATTGAACTAAACTTGGCTCACAGAACTCCCATGACCAACAGAGAATACTGGAAGGGTTTGGTGGGCATTGACCTTGAGTTTGGGAGTTGTGGTTCACCTACATCCAGAGAGAGCTGTGGACTCAAACAATGATGGATCTGGACCAAACTTGGCATGAATACTCAAATATGCCCAAATATGAACACAGATGGAGTTTGGAGGGAATAGAACTTGACATTTGGGAGTTGTAGTTACTGGGATTTATAGTTCACCTACAATCAACCCCCCCCCCCAGCTAGAGAATTGGGCCAAACTTCCCACACAGAACCCCCATAATTAACAGAAAATACTTAAGGCCATTGAGTCCAACTTCCTTCAAAGCCCTCCTGACAAAGAGCCATCCAGCCATAGATATGGATAGATATATATGATTCACACACACACAGATATAGTATCATAGATTTGAAAGGGACCCCTTAAGAAGGACAATTATATGTTGCATGTTCCAGGGTATGCAAACCAGACAATCTCCACATCAACACTGACAAAGAAGCAACAAGAAATACTGTTTACCCACAAGCATAAAGAAATTACATATATTAGAAACCAACACTTTGCATATATTTTCCAGATCACGAGACTGGGCCACAGCAACACATGGCAGGGGATAGCTCGTAGATAAATAAATACAAATGTAATGTTCGTTTGTGGGATTAACATAACTCAAAAACGATTGGACAAATTGACACCAAATACACAAATTGACACAATACACCTGTCAGGCCAACAAGTGGCCATCACTCATAAAAACACTGAAAAACACAACAGAAGAGACTTAAAAAGCCAAAAAACAAAAATTACATTACAACACATGCACAAAACCACACACATATATATATATATACACACACACACACACACACATACACACACAAAACACATACACAGAGACTGGGCCACAGCAATGCGTGGCAGGGGATGGCTAGTGTGTGTATATATGTATATATATATATACACACACAGATATATTACATTTGTTATGAATAACTTTTCAATAACTTTAAAGCATAGGCTCTTTTTACAGTAGAGTCTCACTTATACAACCTAAATGATATATTTCTTATCATGACATATATATAAAGTAAAGGTTTCCCCTGACATTAAGTCTAGTTGTGTCCAACTCTGGGGAGTGGTGCTCATCTCCGTTTCTAAGCCAAAGAGCCGGCATTGTCCATAGATGTCTCCAAGGTCATGTGCCCAGCATGACTGCATGGAGCACCATTACCTTCCCGCCAGAGTGGTATCTATTGATCAACTCATATTTACATGTTTTCCAACTGCTAGGTTGGCTGAAGCTGGGGTTAACAGCAGGAGCTCACCCCACTCCCTGCATTCAAACTGCCAACCTTTCAGTCAGCAAGCTCAGCAGTTTAACCTGCTGTACTTACCTACTTATTTATAAGTGATGATATATATCTAGGGTACAGAGATAGCCCTAGGGAATTTTCAACGGTAAGCAAACAGTATTTTGGTGCCCCCCCCCCCCAACCAATCACTGATAATATATTTTCTGTTTCTAGTGGGAGTTCTGTGTGCCATATTTGGTTCAATTCCATCATTGGTGGAGTTCAGAATGCGCTTTGATTGTAGGTGAACTATACATCCCAGTAACTACAGCTCGCATATGTCAAGGTCTGTTTTCCCTCAAGAGCGCCCCTGGGCAAAATCAACTATACTGCAAATGCTTACTTTGTGTAATGGGTTGAGCCGCCCCTTCTTAGGGTACTATGGTTGTCCTGATGGGCCTTGAAATTAACTTCATTTGTGTGTCTGAGGCTGAGTGTCACAACGGCTTCTTTTGCATGCTGTTTCCACTTAATAATAATAATAATAATAATAATAATGGGGTGTTGTGTGGTTTTCTGGGCTGTATGACCAATGCGTTCTAGCAGCACTTTCTCCTGGCATTTTGCCTGCATACAGACTGCTAGAATGCATTGGTCATGCAGCCCGGAAATCCACACAACACTACAGTAATTCTGACCATGAAAAGCCTTTGACAAGAACAGCAATAACGATTGTATTTCTTCCTCTGTTTCTCTGGCAGGTGAATGACTTCCTCTCAGGGCGCTCCCCACTGACCCTCGCCCTCCGCGTCGGGGACCACATGATGTTTGTTCAGCTCCAACTGGCTGCCCAGCAGAGCGGGGGTCCGCTCCAGCACCGCCATGTGGGCCCTGCCCGTGGGGAGCCTCCTGGGGCCACGCCCGTTGCCCCCCCACAAGCCCCTGCACCAGGGCCCGGGGGAGGGGGTCCCATCCACGACGCTGGCCCTCGGCCCACCTTCAGCAGGGCCCCCCATGTACTGGCCTGCCAGCCAAGCCCCCCGGCCTCCCCACCTGTGGCTCCGCCCCCGCCATGTGGTCCCGCCCACCCAGTCATGGCAGCAGGAATGTTCCGGTCGCACGGCACCAGCACGCCAGCGGCAAACGGGAGTGCGGCATCCTCATCCTCCTGTTCGGAGGTCAGTACGAAGTGGGTGAAGGAGCTGAGATTGAATAGTGTGGATTGGAAAACAAAGTTCTGAGAATGGTTTTGAGAGGGGACGAGGGAGTGAAGGGATTTGGAAAGAGATCAGTGTTGCCAATAATAATAATAATAATTATTATTATTATTATTTTAATATTATTTTATTTATAAAGCCTCTGGGAAAGGTGAAAGACGAGATTGAAATGACCCAAAATAGGATTGTTTTGGGACAGAGAGAGAGATTCAGAGACTGAGTTGAAGGATAGTGCAGGGAAGGAGAAGTGAAAGAGGAGAAAGGTTTGCAGGAGTGCGTGCATGTCTACTTTAGTGACTCTGGTCCACTCTAAAACCCATGGTGCAGGAACGGTCACAATGTGGCACTTTCTTGACATTAGCGCACCACCGCTTAGGAGTATTCTGCAAATTAAACAATTGCGTTTTAAATCTCCTCGGTTCTAGTTTCCGATGGGAAACGAGAGACAAGAAATGTTTGGGCACTGTGCCTCAACATGGCCTGGCATGTTTGGAAATAAGGGTCCAAGCTGGTCCAGGGTTCGAGTGTTGCTCTGGGAACCAAGGCTCTTTCCACTAACTCAGGCCCTTTCTACACAGCTGTATAAAATCCAGATTGTCTGCTTTGAACTGGCTTACCTGGCAGTGCAGACTTAGATACAGTAGAGTCTCGCATATCATTGTGCCAACAATGCGATGCGGTCACAAAAAAATCCAATGAGATTTTGGCCTGCATCAATAGGAGTCTACTGTCTAGATCAGGGGTCTTCAAACTTATTAAACTGTGGGCCAGGTCACAATCCCTCAAACTGTTGGAGTGCCGGATTATAAATTGAAAAAAGCACAAATGAATTCCTATGCACACTGCACATATCTTATTTGTAGTGCAAAAAACACTTAAAAACAATACAATAATTAAAATGAAGAACAATTTTAACAAATATAAACTTATTAGCATTTTAATGGAAATACTTTTGACTTTTTTTGTTGTGTCAGGAGTGCCTTGAGAAACTGCAAGTCACTTCTGGTGTGAGAGAATTGGCCGTCTGCAAGGACGTTGCCCAGGGGATGCCCAGATGATTTTGATGTTTTCATCATCCTTGTGGGAGGCTTCTCTCATGTCCCTGCATGAGGAGCTGGAGCTGATAGAGGGAGCTCATCCGCCTCTCCCCGGATTCGAACCTGCGACCTGTTGGTCTTCAGTCCTGCCGGCACAGGGGTTTAACCCACTGTGCCACCGGGGGCTCCTACTTTTGACTGATGAGATAGGATAGTTGTTGTTGTCGTTTGCTTTCAAGTCGTTTCAGACTTAGGTTGACCCTGAGCAAGGGCCGGGTAAATGACCTTGGAGGGCCGTATCCGGCCACCGGGCCTTAGTTTGAGGACCCCTGGTCTAGATCCAGGGAAGTCATGCTACCCCTCTATTCTGCCTTGGTTAGACCACACATGGAATACTGTGTCCAATTCTAGCCACCACAATTGAAAAGAGATAATGACACCTGGAATGTGTCCAGAGGAGGGCAACTAAAATGATCAAGGGTCTGGAGAACAAGCCCTATGAGGAGCGGCTTATAGAGCTGGGCATGCTTAGCCTGCAGAAGAGAAGGCTGAAAGGAGACATGATAGCCATGTATAAATACATGAGAGGAAGTCATAGGGAGGAGGGAGCAAGCTTGTTTTCTGCCCTGGAGACCAGGACACGGAACAATGGCTTCAAACTACAAGAAAGGAGATTCCATCTGCACATGAGGAAGAACTTCCTGTGTGAGCCATTCAGCAGTGGAACTCTGCCCTGGAGTGTGGTGAAGCTCCTTTGAAATAGAGGCTGGATGGCCATCTGTCGGCGGTGCTTTGAATGTAATTTTCCTGCTTCTTGGCGGGGTTGGACTGGATGGCCCATGAGGTCTCTTCCAACTCTGACATAAACAGGCCAGCAGAACGTTGGATAAACAAAAATGTCAGATAATATGGAGTTTCTTAGTGTTACCCATCTGATGCGGTGCTAAACACCTAGAATACTAACAACAGGTACTCAAAGGGTTCAAGCAAGGCCTCGAGGATAGAGCGGCCCAGCAGGAAGTGCCCTGATGTGGAAGAGGAGTGTGGAAATCACAGAGGGAAGGAGAGAGGATGCTTCCGCTTTCTGTCCTGCCTCTTTTTCCCCTTTCGTCCCTCCTCCTCCTTGTCTTGCCTTTTTCACTTATTGGGGATGGAGAGAGAGTTAGGAAGTGCTGCCTTAATTGAAGGGGAAATGCTGGAGGAAAAGGGGGCATCGGATAAGATGGAAAGTCAGATAAGCGAGACTCTACTGTAATCCAGTTCAAAGCAGATAATAATGTGGATTCTCTACTTTGATAGTCTGGTTTATTTATTTAAAACCTTTATATCCCGAACTTCTCACCTTCGTAAAGGGACTCAGACCGGCTTACAGCAAAGATTCAATGCTACTAATGCAAGTTAAAACATCATCCAACCATACAAGATTAAAATACATATAGATAAAATACATATATACCAAATCGCCAAGGTAAAATCATGTTCAACTCAGTCCGCATATGTGGTCACTCACTTTGGTCTGTAACCAGTCTCAGCCATAATTCTGGGAATGCTTCGTTCCATAACCAGGATTTCACGAGCCTCCTGAAGGACAAGAGGGAGGGGGCAGATCTAATCTCACTCCAGAGAGAGTTCCATAGCCGAGGAGCCACCACAGAGAAGGCCCTGTCTCTCGCTCCCACCAAACACGCTTGCGAAGGTGGTGGGACCGAGAGCAGGACCTCTCCGGAAGATCTTAACATCCTTGATGGTTCATAGGGGAGAATACGTTCGGACAGATAAACTGGGCCGGAACCATATAGGGATTTATAGGTTAAAACCAGCACTTTGAATTGTGCTCGGAAGCTAATTGACAACCAGTGGAGCTGGTGCAGCAAGGGAGTTGTGCACTCCCTGTACCCAGCTCCTGTCAGTAGCCTGGCTGCCGAGCGCTGGACTAATTGCAGCTTCCGGCCAGTCTTCAGAGGCAACCCCACATAGAGAACGTTGCAGTAATCTATCCGGGATATAACCAGAGCGTGGACCACCGTGGCCAAGTCAAACTTCCCAAGGTACGGGCGCAGCTGGCGCACAAGTTTTAACTGGGCAAAAGCTCTCCCGGCCACCGATGAGACCTGGGGTTCCAGACTCAGCGATGAGTTGAGGATCACTCCCAAGCTGTTAACCTGTGCCTTCAAAGGGAGTGTAACCCCGTTGAACACAGGCTGTAACCCTATGCCCTGTTTGGCCTTATGACTGACCAGGAGGACCTCTGTCCTGTCTGGATTAATTTCAATTTGTTCGCCCTCATCCAGTCCGTTACAGCGGCCAAACACTGACTCAGGACTGGAACAGCCTCCTTAGTAGCAGGTGGGAAGGAGTGACAGAGTTGGACATCATCTGCGTACAGATAACACTGTACCCCGAAACTCCGGATGATCTCCCCCAACGGCTTCATGTATATGTTGAATAACATAGGGGACAGTACTGAACCCTGCGGGACCCCACAGTACAATGGCCGTGGGGCTGAGCAGGAGTCCCCATAATGACACCTTCTGAGAGCGACCCTCGAGGAAGGATTGGAGCCACCCAAGGCCCATTCCTGCAAGGTGTCGCAGAAGGATGCCGTGGTTGACGGTATCGAAGGCCGATGAGAGGTCCGGCAGAACTAACAGGGACACACTTCCCCTGTCCAGTTCCTGGCGAAGATCATCAACTAAGGCGACCAAGACTGTCTCAGTACCATGTCCCGGCCTGAAACCAAACTGCGCCGGATCCAGATAATCGGTGTCTACCAAGAATTCCTGGAGTTGCGAGGCCACCACACCTTCCAGGACTTTGCCCAAGTAGGGGAGATTGGAAACTGGCTGATAGTTGACGAATTGAATAGGGTCCAGTGATGGTTTTTCCAACAGTGGTGTATAACAGCTTGTTTTAAGCTTGTTGGAATATTGCCTTCCCTAAGGGAGGCATTAACCACCACCTTTACCCACTCTGCCAAACCCCCTCTGGCTTCCTTTACAAGCCAGGATGGGCAGGGGTCTAGGATGTGGCAGTGTAGAAGGGGCCTTCCTAAGGGCTGTGATGTTATTGCAATCAGCTTTTCAAGTTGACCCCAAATCGGGATGAGCCTTGCCCTAAACAACAACTGCCAAACCCTTCGTCGATGGAAAGAACATAAAGCATGTGAGTCCAGCACTGCTGCGCCACATCATTTCCAAGGAGGCTTCTTGGACTTCCTTGGCAATCCCTGCCTGGAGGCTTGCAATGCAAAACAAGACGAGGCAGCGCAAGAGGAGGAAAATGCATATTCAGCAACAAGTGATTACTAGTTAGGAAGTTCTCAAGGAATCCTCCTTTTCGAGCAGAATATTAATAGAGTTTGAATCTGCAAGAGGAAACTTCAGAGGGATCTATGCCTCGGGTGGAAGTGTGCAACAGCCCAACTGGGGTATTCCAAGGCTGAGAAAAGAGCTGGGACCAAAACAATCCAAGGGTGATGGTGCTGAGGGATGCAATAGATCAATGTTTCTCAACCTGGGGGTCGGGACTCCTGAGGAGGGTGTCAGAGGGGTCACCAAAGACCATCAGAAAACACTGTATTCTCTGTTGGTCTTTGTAGGAAGTTTGGCCCAGTTCTTTGGTTGGAGGGCTTCAGAGTGCTCTTTGATAGGTGATCTATAAATCCTAGCAACCACAACTCCCAAATGTCAAGGTCTGTTTTCGCCAAACTCCACCAGTGTACATATCTGGGCATATTGAGGATTTGTGCCAAGTTTGGTTCAGATCCATCATTGTTTGAGTCCTTTCTGGATATAGGTGAACTACAACTCCAAAACTCAAGACCAGTGCCCACCAAACCCCCCCAGTATTTTCTGTTGGTCATGGGAGTTCAGTGTGCCAAGTTTGATTCAGTTCCATCGTTGGTGGAGTTTAGAATGCTCTTTGATTGTAGGTGAACTATAAATCCCAGCAACGACAACTCTCAAATGTCAAGGTCTGTTTTCGCCAAACTCCACCAGTGTACATATTTGGGCTTATTGAGGATTTGGGTCAAGTTTGGTCCAGATCCATCATTGTTTGAGTCCTTTCTGGATATAGGGGAACTACAACTCCAAAACTCAAGGCCAATGCCCACCAAACCCTCCCAGTATTTTCTGTTGGTCATGGGAGTTCAGTGTGCCAAATTTGATTCAGTTCCATCATTGGTGGAGTTCAGAATGCTCTTTGATTTTAGGTGAACTATAAATCCCAGCAACTACAATTTCCAAGTGACAAAATCAATCCCCCCTGGGGACCCCCGACCCCCCATTTTTCAAATGTGGGTGTATTGTGTATTTGTGCCAAATTTGGTCCAGTGAATGAAAATGCATCCTGCATACCAGATATTTACATTATGATTCATAACAGCAGCCAAATGACAGTTATGAAGTAGCAACGAAAATAAAGTTATGGTTGGGAGCCACCACAACATGAGGAACTGTATTAAGGGGTCACAGCATTAGGAAGGTTGAGAAACACTGCAGGAGATACTTGGGAAAATGGAATCAAAGTAGGTAGGAGGAGGAGGGGATGTAAACAATGCTCTTCTGTTTGCAAAAAGCTCGGAAGTAACTTTCTTTCTGATCTGTATTGATTGGAAATAAAGGAATCTGTTTCAAAAGCCTTTACTTTGGCTGGATTTCATCGTAAGGACAAATAGAGTCTTAAACTTTGGGGAGATGTCATGGTCGACCGATCTCAGTTTCTTCCTCTTTCCTTCCAGGTCGACTGTGCGGCGCGTAGCAGCCCTTCGCCCAGCCCAAGCCAGCCTTCTCGGACCCGCAAGCCTGGCGCCGTGATTGAAAGCTTTGTGAACCACGCCCCTGGTGTCTTTTCCGGAACATTTTCGGGTAGGCCCCAGTTGCTTATTCTTCTCCCCATCCTTCTCCAAAAACAGGCGTTTTGGACTCCGACTCCCACAATGCCTAACAGCCTACCAGCTGCTCTTGATACCTTGGCCCTTTCGTAACCGGCTGATAGGGATTCTGGGAGTCAGAGTCCAAAATGCCTAAGTTGGCTTTGCTGTTGTTAGGAAGGAGTGGACACAGTCTGATTCTCTTTCTTCCCCAACGCAGGCACGTTGCACCCCAACTGCCAGGACAGCGCCGGCCGACCACGCCGGGACATCGGCACCATCCTGCAGATCCTGAACGACCTGCTGAGCGCCACGCGGCACTACCAGGGCATGCCCCCCTCCCTGGCCCAGCTGCGCTGCCAGGCCCAGTGCGCCCTCGCGCCCTCCCCACCCTCCTCCCCGCACAGCACCAACCGTGCCGCCACCTCAGAGAAAATGGCCGCCGCCATGACTGCTGCCGCCGCCAGCCAGCCATTGCACCTGGGACAGGGGCCCGTGGCCTGCAAACCCATCGTGACGGGTGAGTCTGCACATGTGACATGCAAGGCTACGACGGGATTGGACTAGGTGGCCCACATAGTCTCATCCAACTCTATGTTTCTATGATCCTGGGGGAGTCTTTGCACATAGGGTGTCATAGATCATACCAAGTGAATCTTCGCATATAGGGTATTTTAGATCACAGCCCTGTCTGAGTCTTTGCATATATGGTGTTTTAGATCATGGCCCTGGGAGTTTTTGCATGTGGCACATTCTAGATCGGTGGTTCTCGCCCTAGGGCTGAGAACGGCAGTCTACAAGTGCAGTAAATAAATAAATAAATAAATTCTCAACCTGGGGTCCCCAGATGCTTTTAGCCTACAACCCGTTTATCAGCTGTTAGGATTTCTGGGAATTGAAGACCAAAAACATCTGGGGACCGCAGGTTGAGAACCACTGTTCTAGATCATCCAGTCTTTGTGTGTGGTGTGTTCTAGATAACAGTCTTGGTGTGTTCACGCATGTAGGGTATTCTAGATTGCGGTTGCCCTGGCCAAAGTCTTTGCACATAGGGTGTCCTATGACATAGGGTCGTAGATCACACCAAGTAGCTCTTTGCATGTAGAGTGTTCTAGATCACTACATTGGGAGTCGGTGTGTGGCATGCTCTAGAAGATATGTTTTTGCATATAGAATGTTCTAGATCACAATTTGTGTGTTCAAGCATTTGGGGTGTTCTAGATCATTGTCCTGAGCAAGTTTTTGCACATATTACTGTTGTCCTGGGTGAGTCTTCGACATGCATGAGGTGTTCTAGATCATTGTTGTCCTCAAAGTCTTTGCACGTAGGGCATTCTAGATCATCATCCTGGGTGAATCTTTATACACGTAGGGTGTCATAGATAATCCTGAGTTAATCTGTGTATGTAGGATGTTCTAGATCACCAACATCCTGAGTGAGTCTTTGTATATAGGGCATTCTAGATCACAGTCCTGCCTGTGTCTTTGCATAGAGGCGGTTTTCAGATCACTATGCAAAGTCTTTTCATATAGCATGTTCTAGATCACCACCTTGGTGAGGCTGCATAAGGGGCATTTGAGATCACCCTGGTAGTCTGTGTGTAGAGTGTTCTAGATCACCATCCTGGGTGAGTCTTGGTTGTTCTAGATTGCTGTTACCCTGGGTGAGTCTTTGAATAGAGGGCATTCTAGTATCTTCAACCCATTTTTCCAAGGTTCCTATCAACTAATGCTTCTTTGGTTTGATTAGTGTTACATCTGGCACTTCAGACTGGCACTTTAGACTTTTCCAAGCCTTGTCAACATACAAGGATCAGGTAGAAGGTGATGATAGGGGAAATGAAAACTCTGGTCTCAAGAAACACCTTCTAGATTGGAGCAACTGCTGAAGGAAGGCTTGCAAAGGGCTCCCTGCATTTCTCTCTCCAGAAGTTTGGGTTTTGCAGACTTACTTGCTACCTGGCGAAGTGTGTGTGGGGGAGAGAGGAAGAGATTTTGCATTTTGTCACCCCGCTCCCATTCATGCACCATCTCTATTCTCACATTTTGCTCCTTGCTCGCATGCAGCAAGGCAACCTGGCATGTGTCTCCATTTCCCCCACACGCACACTCTTCGCCCCATATCTCTGTGCGCACTGGCCTAGATACGTCACGCATATGTGCAGGTTATTTTAAGGCTGCAGAAGAGAGGAAGTAGACAGGTTGGTGTGTCTTTGCACGGCCCTCGCTCCCTTCCTCCTTCAAGCTTTTCGGGGGGTGAAGTGAACCTGAGAGGAAGGAAGGAGCCACAAAGAGTCTCAGAGTATTGCCATGGAGACGTGGTGAGGCAGGCCTTTTGCTAAACGCTGGAGAAGGGAGAAAGGAGGCCTCCTCAGAGCTGCAGAAGGGGAAAAGGAGGCCTTCTGAGCTGCAGAACGGAGAAAGTAGGCCTTCTGAACTGGAGAAGGGAAAAAGGAGGCCTCCTCAGAGCTGGAAAAGGGAAAAGGGAGGCATTCTGAGCTCCAGAAGGGAGAAATGAGGCCTCAGAGCTGCAGAAGGGAAAAAGGAGGCCTTCTGAGCTGGAGAAGGGAGAAAGGAAGCCTCATCAGAGTGGCAGAAGGGAGAAAGGAGGCCTCAGAGCTGGAGAAGGGAAAAGGGAAGCCTTCTAAGCTGCAGAAGGGAGAAATGAGGCCTCCTCAGAGCAGCAGAAGAGATAAAGGAGGCCTCCTCAGAGCTGGAGAAGGGAAAAGGGAGGCCTTCTAAGCTGCAGAAGGGAGAAATGAGGCCTCAGAGCTGAAGAAGGGAAAAAGGAGGCCTTCTGAGCTGGAGAAGGGAGAAAGGAAGCCTCCACAGAGCTGCAGAAGGGAGAAAGGAGGCCTCCGAGTTGCAAAAGGGAAAAGGAGGCCTTCTGAGCTGCAAAAGGAAGAAAGGAGGCCTCAGAGCTGGAGAAGGGAGAAAGGAGGCCTTCTGAGCTATAGAAGGGCAAAAGCAGGCCTTTGAGCTGCTAGAAGTAAGAAAGGAGGCCGTCTCAGAGCTGGATGAAGATAGGTGGGCAGAGTTCTCAATGCCACCCGGGCAAAGGTGGTCTTCTAGGGTAGGTCCAGCCCTTCCTTGGTCCGACCCTTCCTTGCAGGGCTGCTCTGAGGATCCACAGCTTTGGCCAGAATCAATGTGTGGGAAGCTCCTTGGACAAAAGGCACTCAGTTGGAAAAGCTCTTCTACTGAAATAAATACAAATGCATAATAGTAGATCTAGAGATCACACAGCTCCCCATAATAAAGGTGCCAAGAGCCTGTGTGGTGCAGTGACTACAACCATATACCTGTGTGTACGTGTGTAAGGGATTGGGCTGCCAACTCCATAATAGCGTCCCACCGGTTGTTGCAGGCCGTCATAGGTCTCTGTGTCACTTCCTTTTTGGAATTTGCTTCCTCCATAGACCTTCATCAAATTCCAAAGTCTTCTTAACCTCGTCTGTTCCTTTCCTCTTTTCCACACCGCATTTCTCCTGCACCGTGAGCTCTGGGAATATTGCAAACCCAAATGCTGCTGTTCTATTAAAATCCGCCCTTCCGGAAGGGTGCCATAGGTCTCTTTGTCGCTTCTGCTGCTATAATTAATCTGTCTTCCAAGTGGTACCAATCTCTCTCTCTGCCGCTTCCCTCTCTTTCTGGAGGAGGGGGTTCGGCTCCCTGGCAGACGCCGGCGCTGATCTCTCCTTTTGCTGACGTAGTGTTTCTTTTCATTCTTCTCTTACCGCCTACTCTGGGTGACTTTGGAGAGAGAGATAGAGAGAGAGAGAGAAAAGCTCGGCGACCAAGTTTGTGATTGAGTGGGTGCCACTTTTTCCTCTTTCTCCGCCGCCGCCGCTTCGTTCGCTCGCTTGTCCGCCCACGGGCAGATGCTACTGCGCAAGAAGCGAGTGAGAACGAGACAGAGAGACGAGGGAGAAGTGCCTGCTCCCTCCTTTGCCGGATGAGGAGCGGGAGGTGTCAAGCGAGGCAGAAGTGATCAAAACCCAGAAGCCTTAAGGGGGGGCTGCAGTGTCGAGCACGCCAACACCAGGAAAGAGGCCACCCTGTAACAGAATCCCACCTCCCCCCTGCAACACCCTGAATAATCTCCCCATAGCCCCATCCATCCCCTTAGAAAGCATTGAAATCATTGGGGGGGCGGGTTCCTCTGTATCCACTGATGAGGTTTACTTCCCAAATTCAAGGATGCTCAGTCCCCATTATGGACAGCGGCAGAGTCTCAACCTGGGAATCAGGACCCCTGGGGGGTCACGAGGGGGTTTCAGAGGGTCTGCCAAAAATCCACTCAAAACATATATTTCTGATCATCTTTAGAACCCCTTTGGCAAAGAAGGCTGAAGATCTCTTCGCCTATCCTTTGCATGCTTTTTGGAAACAGAGGGCGAATCCTCCCACCAAAAGCCCTTCTCTGCTGTGATTGGCTGACCTCTCAGCTGGCCTCTCAACCAAGGGGAGGGCTGTTTCTGAAACTCTAAACAGGGAGGGGAGAGCAGGCATGCTTGGCGCATGTGAGGCGAGGGAGAGCATGTGAGGCTGGAGGGAGGCTCACACCAGTGAGTCTCTTCAAGGCATGGGGGTTCTGTTTGGGAAGTTTGACCCAATTCCATCATTGGTGGGGTTCAGAATGCTCTTTGATTGTAGGTGAACTATAAATCCCAACAACCTCAACTCCCAAATGGCGTGGTCTATTTTCCCCAAACTCCACCAGTGTTCACATTTGGGCCTATTGAGCATCCATGCCAAGTTTGGTCCAGATCTGTCATTGTTTGAGTCCACGGGGCTCTCTGGGTTTAGGTGAACTACAACTCTAAAACTCAAGGCCAGTGCCTACCAAAGCCTTCCATTATTTTTTGTTCATCATGGGATTTCTGTGTGCCAAGTTTGGTTCAATTCCATTGTTGGTGTAGTTTAGAATGCTCTTTGATGGTTTATTTATTTATCGTGTCAGTGCAACCAGTCGATTATATTACATTTCTAATAGAACAAAGCAAAAAAAAAAAGAGACAAAAAACAGAATTGTGAGTTTGGTAGTTGATTAAATGTCCTTTGACCAGTATCTGGCCACTTGGAGTGCCTCTGGTGTTGCTGCAAGAAGGTCTTCCATTGTGCATGTGGCAGGGCTCAGGTTGCATTGCAGCAGGTGGTCAGTGGTTTGCTCCTCTCCACACTCACATGTCGTGGATTCCACTTTGTAGCCCCATTTCTGAAGGTTGGCTCTGCATCTTGTGGTGCCAGAGCGCAGTCTGTTCAGCGCCTTCCAAGTCGCCCAGTCTTCTGTGTGCCCAGGGAGAAGTCTCTCATTTGGTATCAGCCATTGCTTGAGGTTCTGGGTTTGAGCCTGCCACTTTTGGACTCTCGCTTGCTGAAGTGTTCCAGCGAGTGTCTCTGTAGATCTTGGAAAACTATTTCTAGATTTACGTCGTTGATGTGCTGGCTGATACCCAAACAGGGGATGAGCTGGAGATGTCTCTGACTTGGTCCTTTCACTATTGGCTGCTACTTCCCGGCGGATGTCAGGTGGTGCAATACCGGCTAAGCAGTGTAATTTCTCCAGTGGTGTAGGGCGCAGGCACCCCGTGATAATGTGGCATGTCTCATTAAGAGCCATATCCACTGTTTTAGTGTGGTGAGATGTGTTCCACACTCAGCAGCAGAGCAGCACAGCGCAAGGGCAGATGTCTTCACTGTATCTGGTTGTGATCCTCAGGTTGTGCCAGTCAGCTTTCGTATGATATTGTTTCTAGCACCCACTTTTGGCTTGATGTTCAGGCAGTGCTTCTTGTAGGTAAGAGCACGGTCCAGAGTGACTCCCAGGTATTTGGGTGTGCTGCAATGCTCCAGTGGGATTCCTTCCCAGGTGATCCTCAGAGTTCGGGATGCTTCTCTGTTCTTGAGATGAAAGGCACATGTCTGTGTTTTAGATGGGTTGGGGATCACCTGGTTTTCCCTGTAATAGGCAGTGAGAGCACCTAGAGCTTCGGAAAGCTTCTGTTCTACCATCTCAAAGCTCCCTGCTTGAGCGGTGATGGCACGATCATCAGATTTGATGGTAGGTTAACTATAAAACGCAGGAACTACAACTCCCAAATGACAAAATCAATCCCCTCCAACCCCACCAGTACTCAGATTTGGGCGTATCGGGTATTTGTGACCGCATTTCTGTGTACAAACCCACATGATCTCTTCGATCATCTGGGGAGGCCCTGCTCTCGCTCCCATCCCTTTTGCAGGTGTGATTGATGGGGACAAGGGAGAGGGCCTTCTCGGTGGTGGCCCCCTGACTCTGGAACTCACTTCCCAAGGATATCAGGCAAGCCCCCACGTTGGCAGTCCCTGAAAACGTGGCTGTTCCAATGTGCCATCCTGGAATAAGGAAATAATTCACAGCAAAATGTCCTCAGAAGCACTTTAATTACTGATTGGATTGTTCTCCCTTCATTTCTTTTAAAACCCTCCTACCAGATGCATCCTACCTCTGTGCATGCCCAGCGTTTATTTTTAATTTTAAACTATTACATTTGGCCCGGCCATAGGTTTTTAAATCCTTGTGTGTTATTGTTTATATGTGATTTATATTAATTGTCTTGCTTTTTGTTTATTGTTTTTCTGTTTATTGATGTGTTGTCGGGCTTGGCCTCATGTAAGCTGCTCCGAGTCCCTTGGGGAGATGGTGGCGGTGTATAAATAAAGTATTATTTTTATAATTGTAATCAAAATATTATCATTATATATTGTAATAAAAAATTACAACAGCAAAACAACAGAGAGTAAACAATCAGGCACATCAAATCACTCTCAACAAAAGATTCCCCCCAGGCACTTCCAAGCCATTAAATGTTAATCAAGGTGGTCAGTTGAAACATTCACACCTAGCTCCAGCAGACAAAAGTCCTTTGTCCCACCCTGGTCATTCCACAGATATATAAACCCATTGTCCTACTTCCAACAGACCTCACTACCTCTGAGGATGCTTGCCATAGATGCAGGCGAAACGTCAGGAGAAAATGCCTCTAGAACATGGCCATATAGCCCGGAAAAACCTACAACAACCCTATTATTATTATTATTATTATTATTATTATTATTATTATTATTATTTGATCCAGTGAATGAAAATACATCCTGCATATCATGTGAATACATATTGATTCAGAACAGTAGCCAAATTATAGTTATGAAGTAGCAACGAAAATAACGTTATGGTTGGGGGTCAGCACAACATGAGGAACTGTGTTAAGGGGTCGAGGCATTAGGAAGATTGAGAAACATTGGTCTAAATGGTGATCTTTGAATGGGGTGATGGCTACCACCACAAATTGACATTGTAACGAATCAGAGAATACTATCTTGTGTAACTTGGCTCTTGGCCTAGATCATAATGATTTTTAATGTATCATGCTTTTACGAGACTGTACGCTGGAGACTCGGACTCAATGGAGCCATGGGTTCAAATGGCAGGAAATTCCATCTAAACATCAGGAAGAACTTCCTGGCCGTAAGGAGAGCTGTTCACCAACGATGGAATTGAACCAAACTTGGCACACAGATCTCCCATGACCAAGAGAAAATACTGGAAGGTTTGGTGGGCATTGACCTTGAGTTTTGGAGTTGTAGTTCACCTACATCCAGGTAGAGCACTGTGGACTCAAACAATGATGGATCTGGAGCAAACTTGGCATGAATCCTCAATATGCTCAAATGTGAATACTGGTGGAGATTGGGGAAAATAGAACTTGACATTTGGGAGTTGTAGTTGCTGGTATTTATCATTACAATCAAGGAGCATTCTGAACTCCACCAATGATGGAATTAAACCAGTTTTGACACACAGAACTTCCACGACCAACATAAAATACTGGAAGGGTTTGGTGGGTATTGACCTTGAGTTTTGGAGTTGTAGTTCATCTACATCCAGAGAGCACTGTGGACTCAAACAGTGATGGAACTGGATCAAACTTGGTACGAATACTCAATATGCCCAAATGTGAACACTGTTGGAGTTTGGGGAATAGAGACCTTGACATTTGGGATTTATAGTTCACCTACAATCAAAGAGCACTCTGAACCCAGCCCACAATGGATCTGCACCAAACTTACCACACTACCTACATGGCCAACATTGAATACTGGTGGGGGTGGGGGGGTGGGTGGGTTATTTTTGAATTTTGGGAGTTGTAGTTCACCAACACCAAAAAGGAAGAGAAGGACAGATGGAGAGATCTTTAACCTTCTCTGCCAAAAGGGTTCCTATGACCATCAGAAATATGTGTTTTCTGATGGACTTTGGTGACCCCTCTGAAACCCACTCGTGACCCCCTCAGGGGTCCTGACCCCCAGGTTGAGAAACACTGCCCTAAGAACAATGCCAAGGACCAGATCTGTGTTTTCCATACACCAGAACCTGACTCCTTGCACAAAATCTAAGACTCCCAAATTGCACTCCTTCCCTTGAGAAAAGGAGGCCCAAAGTGTCCAGAATCCTGCTTTCCCATAGCAGATCTGACACTCCATATGTACACCATCTCTCCTTCCTATGGAGCAGAGAGGTGGGTGAGCAGCGTCCCTATCTATCGCAATTTGAGAATTATTAGATTGAGTCTTATATAGGAATATTCTACTGATGTAGTCCCAAAGTTGTAAATTAATGATAGATGGCTTCCGTCCTAGCTCCATCTCTGTTTCCTGGCCAGATGATTAATGTTAGCCTTATGTTGACTTCTTAACATTACAGACATTTCTCTTATCCCAGTCACAGTTCTTATCAGAGTCTACTTTTTCAGTTCTCATTTGCAACTTTTAATTACAGTCCAGCAAGCAGGCAGTTAATCAGTATTGGCCTTAATCTTCAGACTGGTATTTCCAAAATTATTAGCTCTCATGTATTTATCTGTTATTCAATTCGTTCATGCCCCACACATATTAAATCCAAATTTATCAAATCTGCACATTTTTCTTGTGACGCCTGGACAAGGCCAGGTGTGTGTGTGTGTATGTTTTATATGTGCTGCTAATAACTGTGGGAACTGCTTTAACTTGGTCTCTCTCCCTCCCTGTGTTCCAGGTGATCGTGTGCGGCAGACGGAGAACCGGGCCACACGCTGCAAGGTGGAGCGGCTGCAGCTCCTGATGCAGCAGAAGCGCCTGCGCCGGAAAGCCCGCCGGGATGCCCGGGCCCCCTACCATTGGCTGCCCAACCACCGCAAGTCCAGCCGGACCAACAGCAACAGTAGCCTGTCCAGCGAAGGTAGCAGCAGCCTGGATCTGGACTTCGACGACTCGGTCTGGAAGCCCGAAGTCAAGCCGGACATGAAGTCAGAGTTTGTCGTAGCGTGAACAGAGAGGGAGAATGGGCCTCCCTTGTCGGGATGCGAAGCGCTGAACGATGGGGACGGGGATGGAGAAAACGATGATGACAACAAAGACTCTTTAGTAATAATTAATAATACATTTTCTTTGGTCCACGCGAGCAAAGGAGTTTTTGGTTTTCTTTTATTATTTTTTCCTGGGTGCTTGATTTAAAAAAAAAAAAAGACTCGGTTGCTGTGGATTTCTCCAGGCGAGCGGACCTCTCCTCCGGATGTATTTAGTTTGGACAAAACGCCATATTTTGGAACAGTATTTTCTATGATTGGTTTTCCTCTCTTCCTTGCCGCCGAAACTCTGCTGGGGCTTTTGTTCTAGGAACGGAAAACAGCTGTGACAGGGCTCCCGAGTGAGAGAGCAAGCGGACCTGAAAGGAAGGCGGCAGGCAGGCGAGCGAGCAAGTGCCTCTCGTCTGAAAAAAGAAAAACACGGGTGGTTTGAGGGCGTGGGGCTTTTTGCGGTTTTGGGAGGAGGAATCTTCAAACACAGCTGCCTTAAATGATGACGACACGCAGATGGGAACGTCAACTTCAAGGGGGTGGAAACAGAGCGGATGCGAGAAACCGGACTTCTTCTGAGTTTCCTCCCGTTTTGGGGTCTTGTTTCCAAGGCCGTCCCGTTTGTGCCAGAAAGCTGCTTCCTCCCTTCCCTGTGATGAATCTGTCTGGAGGCGGGCGGAGATGTGTGGAAAGTTTTCTCTTCTTTTTAAAATAATTTTTTTAAACGTTCTCCTTTTGTTTTTGGTGACTTCTACATGAACGGGAAGCACTGTGCATTCTTTCAAGGCTGAAGGTTTTGTCGCAGGGAAGGTGTTGAGTGCGAGTGAGCCTCCGCTGTCTGTGTCTTCTCTCCTTTTCCTCCCCAAGATATGTAGCATTTCTCACAATCTCCCGTCTTTCTGTTGATAACTTTTCTCTTTTCCTGTATCTCCCCCCCCCCCCCCCCCCCCCCCCCCCCCCGCCACGCTGGAGAATTGTTGTGCCCTTTTATAAGAGGTGCAAGATGGCGGAGGGAAATAGTCCGGCATTTCCTCAAGTTCCTTGCAGAGGAAAGAAGGGATAGATAGACGGATAGATAGATAAATAGATAGATATGCAGGAGGCGTGGAGACGAAAGGAGAGTGGTACCACCTCAACGTTTGCTGTCCACTCTTGCTTTTCATTTGCACATTTTCAATGCAATTCCTGGTACAGGAGAGTCTCGCTTATCTGATATGAACAGGTTGGCAGAATGTCGGATAAATGAAAATGTCGGATAATACGGCGTCTCCTGTTACCCGTCCGACGTGGCGCTAGACACCGAGACTACTAACAACAGGGACCTAAACGGTTAAAGCAAGGCAAAGTCTCAGGGCTAGAGGGTCCCAGCAGGAAGTACCCAGATGCGGAAGAGGAGTGTGGAAATCACAGGGAAGGAGGGAGGACGCTTTTCCCCCTTTCCTCCTACTCCTCCTCGTATTGCCTTTTTCACTTATTGGAAATGGCGAGTTCGGGAGTGCTCCTTTAATTGAAGGGGAAATGCTGGAGGAAAAGAGGTGTCGGATAAGACGGAATGTCGGATAAGCGAAGGTCGGTTAAACGAGACTCTACTGTATATCAACTTTAAAAAAAAAACACAAAACAAGCCTAATCAGCCCACCTACACTTTCATCCGCCCCCTTTTTTTCCAGGTGGAAGTGTGACTCCGCATGCATGCGCATGGATGTGTCCAAATAGTGACCAACTCTCTTCCTCTGGTTCTTTTTTTATTTTTTCAGTGGGTGTGGGGAGGGGGGGTAAAACTTGACAAAAATCAGTAATGCTTACTAGGATATACATTTGGGTGTGTTTTGTATTATTATTTATAGACTTCCAACAAAAAAAAAATCTGAGCCAGTCGTGTTTGTTTTGTTTCCAACAGGCCATAGGACTCCAGTCCTTTTGTTTGCCTGCAAACCTAGCAACCACAGGTGTGTGTGTGTGTCTGTGTGTGTCCGTGTGTCCATTCAGAGCAGGGGACGCAGGGTCTTTCCCTTCCTGAAAGACCCCTTTATCGGCCCCATTAATCTCTGCCATCCCATATCTTGACCAATAGGAATGGAGGGAAGGCTTTATAGCAGCCATGGGCCAACTTGAGCCCTCCCTCCAAGTGTTGTGGTGCAACCTGACCTTTGTTTCAGCAACTGCACTGCAAATGGAAATGGCTTGTGTTTGGCTTATTTGTTGTCCCATGCCTCTCATTCCCTGGGGTGAGGGTGGACTCCCAATTCCCATAATCCCCAGCCCTTGGGAATCCCAAAGGCCACCTGGACCACCCAGTTGAGTGTTGTGTTTTTGCCCCCCCCCCCTCCGCGCATTCTGTGTTTGTGGCCGCTTGGAAGCCCCACAGCCTGCCTTCTTCCCCTTTGTCTCTTATGTTTAGGATTCGATTCCCAAGCCTTAATTAAGCCAAGTTGCAGGGACCTTCTGGGACTCCTTCGCCACTCTTCTCTTTAACTTCTCCATGTTTGTGGGTCTGTTTCTTTCTTGCCATCGATCCATAATGAATGGACACTCAACCAACAGCTCTCCTCGCTTCCCAGCAGGCTTTGGTCTTCCCTTCCAAAAAGACTTCCTTTATTGTTCCCATTAATCTCTGCCCTCCCACATCTTGACCAGTAGGAGGGAACGCTTTATAGCAGACCTGGGCCAACTTGGGTCCACCCTCCAGGTGCTTTAGACTTCAGCTCCCACAATTTCTTCAATATGTGGATGACATGCTTCAGTATGTGGACAACATACTCATAGCATAGGCAAGGGCCAACTTGGGTCCTCCGGGTGTTTTGGACTTCAACTCCCACAATTCCTTACAGCCTTAGGTTCTTTCCTTTTCCTCCTCAGCCGCTTAAGCTGTTAGGAATTGTGGGAGTTAAAGTCCAAAATACCTGGAGGGAGGGCCAGAGTTGGCCCATGCCTGGTTTATAGTCCCGTCATGGAATCAAAACGTCCTCCTTGTGGCTCAGGGGTCCTCAAACTAAGAAACTAAGACCCAAGGGCCGGATATGGCCCTCCAAGGTTATTTACCCGGCCCTTGCTCAGGGTCAACCTAAGTCTGAAATGACTTGAAAGCACACAATAACAACAATCCTATCTCATCAGCTAAAAGCAGGCCCACATTTCCCATTGAAATACTAAAAAGTTTATATTAGTTAAAATTGTTCTTTCTTTTAATTATTGTATTGTTTTTTAGTGTTTTTTGCACCACAAATATGATATATGCAGTGTGCATAGGAATTCATGTTTTTTCAAATTATAATCCGGCCCTCCAACAGTTTGATGGACTATGACCTGGCCCTCTGTTTATAAAGTCTGAGGACCCCTGTTGTGGCTTCATCCTTCAGTTTCAGCATCTGTGTCACTTTCTGTTCCTTGTTTTGTAAATAATTCCTGCACATTCCTCTCTCTCTGCCTGACTTTCCCCAGATTCCCTTCACTCTTTCTCCTCCTTGCCCAACTTTCACCCATTCTTTCTACAATCCGCTTTTTTTTCGCAAAATTCGTGATTACATTTGTTCTGGGTCCCAACAATGTGAGGCCGACCCCATCCATTTCCCTCAACACCTATAGGAAAAGACGTATGTTTATGGATTCTCTCTCGTGAGCGGCCAGGTGCCAATCTGCATGGCAGTGCCTTTCTCTGCCCCCAAAAGGAATGACAGAAATCGCTGTCCGGCACGGGAATCGCTTCCGCAAAAACCCTGTCGTACTTTAGGGCTGTTTCTGCACCCCTTTGTGCCGCACTGCTCCCGTTCATAGAATAGCTACCCTGTTTCCCTGAAAATAGGACAGGGTCTGATATTAATTTTTGTTCCAAAAGATTCATTACAACCTACTTACAGCTGCCTGGACACTATTTAAATTGACTTCTAAATTAACTGTAACTAGGGCTTATTATTTGAAGTAGGGCTTACGTTTTGAGCATCCTCAAAAATCCTGAAAAATCATTCTAGGACTTATTTTCAGGGTAGGTCTTATTTTGGGGGAAACAGAGTAAGTGTGCGTTGGAAGGGGAAAGAAACAACCCCAAAAGCTCTTCTTCCTCGATCTTGCAGTGGCGGAACCATCGTTCAGGAAATGAAATCACACCCAGCTTTCGATGCCCAAAGGCTTTGACTCTTTCCCCTGGGGCAAAATCCTCAATATCGATCTCTTTGATTTGTGCAAGAGCCAACCAACCGCTTCCACACATGGAGGACTTGCCTCTGAAATCCCTCTTGAAGGGCACCAGGAAGCGATTCCCGGCAAAACGGAAGGAAAAACGAACATTTCCTAGCCAAATTCCCTCTTCCATCCCACAAAGCTTGACTTCCTTGGCCAGCCACGCGGATACATCTTTCTTCTGTGTCTTTCTCTTGCATTTCTGAAGAACGGACCTCCTTTCCCGTCTTCTCTTGCCAACTGGAAGAGAGGATCGCTGCGTCTCCTCTGGTCAAACTCTGTCCTTTCTTCTCCTTTCCCCGTTAAATTCCTTTGTATGTGTTGTTGTAGGCGGAATTTAATTTTTGATTGTTTTGTTATGTATTTAAATGTGCTCTTTTTATTTTTTTTGTATGGCGTGTGTGTATGCCCGTATGTATCCTGTCCCGAGAGGTCTGTTTTTTTTCCTCACGGGAAGTCAGTTGGTCCTTCCTTCTTTCCTTCCTTTTTTTATTGGTTTGTTGATTTTTAAGTCCATATAAGAGCAGAAAGGAGAGTCAAAAGCATTACAAAAAAATGAAATAAATACTCGCCTCCTGTATGTATGCGTGTTTGGAAAGAGAGAGTGTGTCGGGAACGGAGGTGCGATGCAGTGCGATGCGTAGGCCTGGCTGTTGGCCACCTCAATTTAAGTTACCTGTATTAAAAAAAAGAGAAAGAAAGAAACTTTTAAAACATGGTTTGAAAATAATAACACAAAATAAAGATTGCTTGAGCCACACTTGCGTTGTCTGTCACCTTTGGTATTGTAATGGCGAAGTCGGCAGGAAAAAGGCAGTACATGTGAAAAAGATCTTGGAGTCCAAATTGGGAGGGATAGCCAATACTACAGAAGACTGGAGCAGGATTCAAAATGATTTTGACAGATTGGAGAGATGATTGACCAAAACTAACAAAATGAAGTTCAACAGGGACAAATGCAAGATACTCCACTTAGGCAGAAAAAACAAAATGCAAAGATACAGAATAGAGGACACCTGGCTTGAGAGCAGCACATGTGAAAAAGATCTTGGAGTCCTTGTGGACAGCAAGTTAAACATGAGTCAACAATGTCATGTGGCAGCAAAAAAAGCCAATGGGATTTTGGCCTGCATCAATAGGAGCCTAGTGTCTAGATCTAGGGAAGTCATGCTACCCCTCTATTCTGCCTTGGTTAGACCACACCTGGAATATTGTGTCCAATTCTAGCCACTACAATTGAAGAGAGATATTGACAAGTTGGAATGTGTCCAGAGGAGGGCGACTAAAATGATCAAGGGTCTGGAGGACAAGCCCTATGAGGAGCGGCTTAAGGAGCTGGGCATGTTTAGCCTGAAGAAGAGAAGGCTGAGAGGAGATATGATAGCCATGTATAAATATCTGAGAGGAAGTCATAGGGAGGAGGGAGCGGAATTGTTTTCTGCTTCCCTGGAGATTAGGACGTGGAACAATGGCTTCAAACTACAAGAGAGGAGATTCCATCTGAACATGAGGAGGAACTTCCTGACTGTGAGAGCTGTTCAGCAGTGGAACTCTCTGCCCCGGAGTGTGGTGGAGGTTCCTTCTTTGGAAGCTTTGAAACGGGCTGGATGGCCATCTGTCGGGGGTGCTTTGAATGCAATTTTCCTGCTTCTTGGCAGGGGGTTGGACTAGATGGCCCATGAGGTCTCTT